CCCCAAAACCCCAAAACCCCAAAACCCCAAAACCCCGTGTTAAATATATAAGGGATAAAATTAAATTATTTTATAATAATAAATATGATTCAAGGAATGCCAAGGTGCAAAACCTATTCGGAATGAGAAAAGATCTCATATATGATCAGGAAGAGTGATGCAAACACTCTCAAAGAAGATTTGTTCGTCTGCTCGATGTGCATGATGACTCATTTCTCTGACCAGGCTCCAGAGCCCATCCCCGAGATTGACCCAATCATTGAGTGCCTCAACTGCGGTAAGGAGCCAGACATATGTTGCTAGACCACTCCTTTGAAGAACGCTTAGTTATCTTAGACTTTTTAGATGTTCTTCAAATGAGATTTTCATGGACAATTTTTGTCGAGTTTTTTTGAATTAATTATACCTTTCGAAATTATTGGAGATTTAATCCTGTTTAAAGCCCAGCACAATCTCAAAAAGATTGACTTCTTCAGAAATGAACACAAGCTTGATGATATATGGGACAGAGTGCTGCCTCAGCATGAAGAATTCAAAGTAAACTGCAAAACTCTCCAAGGTAAGTGTCGCTAGATCTTTGTGATCCAGTATTTTGACTTTTTATTTTCATAATTAGATAGTAGTAAATTCTCATTTTAATGTATTAATTTTCTGATGAAGTTACTGTTCTTCATCAGACAGGCTACCTACTTCTTCTTTATTCAAGCATAAAAGCTAACCATACTTAGAGAAACTCCATACAATTAAGACCAATGGACAATGGAACAAGCTTGTTGACTTCCAGGTCGAGGCCAAGACTTTCTTGAACTCGATCTTCGAATCTGAACTAATGAGGCAGTTCAACAGACAGCTTCACTGCAGAGAGTTCAAAGAGTCCAAATCTGCAGATTCTATGACTAGTTACATGTCCAAGGCAGCTGTCAGAGCCAAAGTACAAGAAATTCAGCAAACAATTACTGCTGAGCAAGTGAACCCTTTGAAGGAGGTTCTCAGAAGAGCAACTGAGAGAGACAGAGAGAAGAACACTCAGTTGGAAAGACTGGAGCAAGTAAAGGAAGAGCTCGATCAAACAATCCAGACTTTGACACAAGAGAAGGATAACTCCGAACAAGTTTCGGCACAAAGACAACAGGAAATCGACAGCCTCACCCAACAAATCCAGACATTTGAAGAAGATCAAGAGCAACACAACAGACAGGCCGAAGAAATGAAACACGAGATTCTCGCTCTCGAGGACACTTTGCAGCAGGCCAAGAACATCCTCGACCACGCTGGGTTAAAGGCGATTCACAATGCCATGAAGAAGGCTTCGGATTCATTCAATGAGGACTCAGAATTTACAATTAGTGTGAATAATACTGCTGATCAAGAGTTACTGAAGGCTCTGCAGTTATTCAGACTTCCTCCTCTGAAGGAGTTTTCTCTTGGTCACATTCATTCCTTCAACAAGCCTGAGTTGATAACGAAGTTTCTGGGGAACGCCCTGAGCGAGAACGTGAAATACTTCTGCTTCTACACCTGCACTTCTTCCTGCCTTGACCTAAGTCCTTACATGGACACTCTGACCAAGACCCTCCCCCTCATCCCCTCCAGAGTTGAACTTGTCTACTGGACGATGACCAGCTCCCAGTTCCAAGACATCCTCGTGGCTGCGCAGAAGGCAGACTATGTACAGTTTTTGGCCTGTAAGATAGATGTTGGGGAGGAAGTGGATTTTGGAGGCAGACTTGACCAAGCTGCTTTTACCAACATTAATTTTGCTTGTACTGGGAGGAGTGATTATAGCAATTGGGCTCAAAATGGGTTTGAAACGTTTAAAAATATTGTGAAGGGGCTGGCCAAAGTGGAGAGTATTAAGAATAGACAAGTTAGTATTCATTTGTACGACTGTGGAATGTCTAAAGATCAAGCTGAGTCAATATTACAGGAGAATGGAATGGCTAATATGGTCGTTAAAGGGCTTTAATTGGAAAAGAGATGAATAATGGAGATTTCAATAGCTCTGTTTTAGTACGGGGTTTTGGGGTTTTGGGGTTTTGGGG